CGGGCGTGATCTAATGCGATCCAACTGGGTATCAGAACTTTGTGTGAATCGTGATTCACATGTCACTCCAACCTGAGTCAGCACATCATAACTCTTGCTTCTTGGTTTCACCGGGTCCAAAAGATCAGCACCAGTTTGTCTATCTCGTGTCATTACACCGTTTTGCACTTGCACATCGTAGGCCACTTTTCGAGGTGGTACCCATGGGTCTGTTTGAATCGATTCGGGATGAGATTTAAATCCGATCTGTGCGGCTACGTCCATGACTTGTGCACTTTTTTGCACACTCATATCCTGTGTATTGCGCACAGGTGCTCGCGCTTGAGCCTGGACTTGTTCTAGGGTTATCACCTCTTGAATCACATCTGTTTGACCTTCTTTGCTGGCTGTCACCGGACCAGTCTGCAGTTCCACATTGTACACCGACTTCAATCGTTTCTGCTCTTCCGTTGCGTGATATACATGTTCATCCTCAACTAGAGAATCTCTTGTTTGGCATGAAACGGTCTCCATAGATTTTGCTCGTCTCACAGGCATATCGTATTGTGCTCCCTGACTGGATTTTATCACTCCGATCTGTGTTTGCACACTGTATGCTTGTTTGCTCATCGTATTAGTGGAAACAAATTGCGTACTCACATTGTAATTTCCAGCACCCTGATCGAACACCACGTTACTGTCGACTATATCCGATTTCGGCTGTTTTACTATGAGATCTGCTTGTGTTGTCTCCGATCTAGTCACGTTCTGTATTTGTGTGGCTGCGTCAAGAGCTTGCGTAACCGGTTTACCTCGGACTTGTTGCACTAATTCTGTATGCACAGTGGCATCCTCGGATTGAGTTCCCTGGGTTCTTACCATTGAACCGATCTGCGTTGTGACGTCAGTTTTTTCTGTTGTGGACGAAATTTTGCGAGGCAGTTCCAAGTCGGTTGTTTGCACCGCATTTGTGACGGTGACCTTACCGATTTGACAAACCGCATCACGAGACTTCCCGGTGAGTGGTTTGACCGCCTGCGCATCTTGCTTTTGACGTTGTAACAACCAGGAGTCCAACAGAGCATCGTCTGTTTGGGTGTGTAGTGTGCTCTGGATTATACCAATCTGGCAGAATGCGTCTGCGCTAGCACGCGGAGCTGGTGCTGCCACCAGGGCTTCTTGCACACGGGACTGTTTGACTGATGCAATCATATCCTCATCGATTAGGTTCGCCTGCATGTGCGCATCTGAATGAACTACACCGGTCTGTGTGATTGCCTCAAACATTCCACGGCTTTTAGCGCGCATACCGTGGAATGGCTGTTCGTCAGTTTGGCACGATGTGGTATTAGTCATGTGGCCAATCTGACAGAGTG